CACCAGATTTTCATCTTGAAAACCAAAAAGTCATTGCATCCTAATCTGTGCAGAGTCAGGTACACCCAAATATGATGGTTTCAAAAGATTCTGGTGTATACTGTGGCTCTGTTAATCTTACAGACCTACTAGTCACCATTTTCCAAGAAATGATATAAAATTTCAAAAAGAAGTCCTGAGCATGTCATGAGTCATACCAGAATGAATTTTCTCACTGATAAAATATTCAGGAAATGTCCTTTGGTAGACATCTGACATTACTTTTTTGGGGAAAAAAAATCCCCCTAAATATTTATGATTAAAAACTTAAAGGCAAACCTATTATTCACAATTGACAAACACATTAATTTAAACTTTAAATAAATAAAATATTTATTACATTTCGTATTTGGAGTTAAATCAAATTTTAAGATATAGTTTGTTATTTTTCATCATCTATAAAATCTGTGCTTTTGTGATTGGCATTATCTGGTCAATAAAATATATATTAACAAAATTTGACTTTTTGATTAATTAAGTTTAAATCAGACTAACTGTATGCTTCTGCTGCAAAATAGTGGAGAAAGGCTGTTGCATAGTTGCTATAGGCAAGACACTTAACCCTCTCACTAAATGCCTATCCTATATGGAAAGCCTGAAAAACAACACCCATTTGATTACCCCAGGGAAATTTCCTTCCCTCCAACAAAAGCAACTGAGCATGAAGATCAAATTGTCCTCTTCACCTCAACAGCAATTAAACAACATAAGATGTACTACTATAATTATGTGCCAACATCATAATGTGAACTTTAAAACAGGCAGTGGTGATGTGGAGATGCTATCTATTACATTTTCATCTCTTTAGCATTCAGCTTCAGAAATGCATTCTAATTTCCAAGGACAGTAACTTTCTGAGCCTGTGTTTGACAGTGATTTGCAAATTTAGACCTTATTGCAAAACACAGTTAAGTGGAAAAATTGCCTTGCAACCCTGCTTAAAACTATGGTTCAACAGCCTTTTAACAAACTGTAGCTTGTGAATAAAGATTTAAAAAAAATCAGTTCACCATTTCATATGAACACAGCCCCTGTCTCTTACATGTGGATTAAACTGTCTAAAGCAAACCCCTCTCCCAACACCAGCTGGCAGGAAGTTGAAAGGATCAGTGAGCAGAGAGATTGGGTTTTTCTTTTAAGTGATCTTGTACCACAAAAAAAGAAAAGAAACCCCAAGAAAATGAGTGTAACAATAAGGAATATTGTTGTGTTGTTTCAGAAATTCTCTTAGAATGGATTGAGTGATAAAAAGATATGAGGTTTCGTTATTAGTTATTGTTATCAATTCACTTTGCTATATGCTAGGTTTAGAAACTATAAATGTTTCATAGTCTCTGAAGTGATGTTGGGGGGGGGGGGAAATCTCTCATTATTTTCCTCCCCAAGATGACAAGTTTACAAAAGAAAAGGAAAGAAAGAAAGAAAGAAAGAAAGAAAGAAAAAAATTAGCACTACTTTATTCAATGTCCCATATTCACAAGTAACAGCCTCTGTGGAATTTTAATCAGTTCAAGACCAAAACAATATGCCATCTGCCCTCAAACAAAAATGGGTTAACTCATACACACTGCCTTACACATAATACCCCCAGACAGAATGGAAGTGTCAGACACTGAGACACTCTTACCAGCTACACAAATCAACAACACAAGGCCACCTCCTGCTGTAACTCAATGATCAAACAAAGGGAGAGAGGGAAAGAAATAAAAGGCCTGCAATTCTTATATACTTGTCTTCTCAAAAATAAGCCCCACCTTTTAAAATGGGATTTACTTCCAAGTAAGTATTCTCAGTATTGACTTCTCTGTTAGGACCAACTACAGGCTTGACTCATACTAGAAGTAACCCTGTTGCAGTGTCTAACAGTGTCTAATTGTTGCAGTGTCTAACCTAAATCCAGGAAAATTAAGGTAAATACCCCTCACAGGGCCCTTCCACATAGCCATATAACCCAGAATATCAAGACAGATAATGAACAATATCTGCTTTGAACTGGATTATCTGAGTCCATACTGTCATATAATCCAGTCCAATGTGGATTTTATACAGCTGGGTGGAAGGGAACCACAGACTCCTAATACAGAGCCCCACAAATTCTGGGTTTAAGAATGAAAAAATCTTCCAAGTCAATTTTCCAGATAGTTGGGCCTGAAGTCTTTCTTTCCCGAAATTAATCACTGGCTAGGAAGGCTGGTGTTTACGTAGCAGTGCACACTGTGAGAAAAACGCCACCCAGCCATCTTCTTGGCCTGGGATGAGGCAGGGCGGATAGTCACGATGAGAGAGGATGATGCAGCTGTAGAGGCAGAGACAGCAGCATCCTCACTGCCTGCACGGAAACGAGTCACGGGTGTGGTGCAGCCAATCACACCCACTGAGGCACCAGGAGATTTGGAGGAGGGGGAAGGAGATGGGAGAAAGGGGAAAAACACTGGGGAGATGAAGAGGAGCGCCACGGGAGGGAGAGAAAGAGAGAGGCAGTAATGGAGAGAAGAAGAGGAGGGAAAGGATAATAAGAGGGGGGAGGGGGTCCAGAGACAAGTAGCAATAGGGAGAATTTATTATAACAGACCTCACTACCTCTGAGGATGTTTGCCATAGATGCAGGAGAAACATCAGGAGAGAATGCCTCTAGAACATGGCCATGTAGCCCGAAAAAACCTACAACAACCCAGTGATTCCGGCCATGAAAGCCTTCGACAATACAATTTATTATTTATTTATTTACTAGATTTATATACTGTCCCTCTCGCCCTCAGGCGACTTGGGGCGGTTTACAGTTGGTGCCAAGACCATAAATACAATTTCAATACAATGAAAACAATCGGATAATAAAACCATAACAAAATCAATAAAAACATGAACATTAAGGTCTTCTATTAAAAACACAGTCACATCGTCACATTGAGAAGATGAGGTTGGCAAGGAAGAAATGCCAATGGAGGTCAAAGGGAGGGTGGGCAGAGAGGAAATGGCAGTAGGGTGAAATGGCAATGGAAGAAAGAGGACAGCAGGTTGTGAACGCCAATAGGAGAAGGGCAGGGAGAAGCATCAATACAAGAGATGGGGGTTGGGGGAGAAACGCAATAAGGCAGAGAAGAGAGGGAAAGGTTGGCAAGGAAGGAAAGAAAAGGGAGCAGGGGAGGGATGGTAATGATACTATATTTTATATTACATGTAATATTATTAATAATATTACAATATAATGCTATAGTATAATATAGTAATATATAATACTGATATTGTACTATGCTAATAATATATTGTATGTACATATATAGGAGCCCCTGGTGGCGCAGTGGGTTAAACCCCTGTGCCAGCAGGACTGAAGACCGACAGGTCGTAGGTTCGAATCTGGGGAGAGGCGGATGTGCTCCCTCTATCAGCTCCAGCTCCTCATGCGGGGACCTGAGAGAAGCCTCCCACAAGGATGATAAAAACATCAAATCATCCAGGCATCCCCTGGGCAACGTCCTTGCAAACGGCCAATTCTCTCACACCAGAACTGACTTGCAGTTTCTCAAGTCATTTCTGACCCGGCAAAAAAAAAAGTGGGTTAAAGCGCTGAGCTGCTGAGCTTGTTGACTGAAAGGTTGCAGGTTCAAATACGGGAGTGGCATGAGCTCCCGTTGTTGCCCCAGCTTCTGGCAACCTAGCAGTTCGAAAACATGCAAATGTGAGTAGATCAGTAGGTACCGCTCTGGCGGGAAGGTAACGGTGCTCCATGCAGTCATGCCAGCCACATGACCTTGGAGGTGTCTATGGACAATGCCGGCTCTTCAGCTTAGAAATGGAAATGAGCACCACAATGAAACAGAGAGTGTTTGAGGACCAGGACATCCATAGGGATACCAAGGTGCTTGTTTATAGAGCTATTGTCCTCCCAACCCTGCTATATGCCTGTGAGACGTGGACTGTCTACAGACGTCACATGCAACTCCTGGAACGATTCCATCAGTGCTGCCTCCGGAAAATCCTGCAAATCTCTTGGGAAGACAAGTGGACAAATGTCAGCGTGCTGGAAGAAGCAAAGACCACCAGCACTGAAGCAATGGTCCCCCGCCATCAACTCCGCTGGACCGACCATGTTGTCTGGATGCCCGACCACCGTCTCCCAAAGCAGTTGCTCTACTCTGAACTCAAGAACGGAAAACGGAATGTTGGTGGACAGGAAAAGAGATGTAAAGATAGGCTCAAAACTCTGGCATAGACACTGAGAACTGGGAAACGCTGGCCCTTGACCGCTCCGGCTGGAGGTCAGCTGTGACCAGCAGTGCTGCAGAATTTGAAGAGGCACGAATGGAGGGCGAAAGGGAGAAGCATGCCAAGAGGAAGGCGCGTCAAGCCAACCCCGACCGAGATCGCCTTCCACCTGGAAACTGCGGAAGAAGATGCAGAGCAAGAATAGGGCTCCACAGCCACAAGAATATTGGAAGACAATCCTCCTCAGAAAACGATGGATCGCCTAAGTAAAAGAGCACCGCACCCCAGAGTTGGACACGACTGGGTTTCATGTCAGGGGAAAACCTTTACCTATGTGTGTGTGTATGTGTGTGTGTGTGTGTGTGTGTGTGTATATATATATATATATATATATATATATATCTTGTAAGCCGCTCTGATTCCCCTTTGGATGAGAAAGGAGGCATATAAATGTAAATATATAATGAGGGGCGAGATGAAGTGGTCAAGGAAGAAATGGGGGGGGGCGTGGGGAAAAGGTAATTGGGGTGAAGCGGGGTCAGGGCAATGTCAATGAGGAGGAGAAATGGGCAGGGTAAATAATGAGGCGCCTTTCTGCTGACTCAGTCCTTGGGAGGGGGGAGGGGGGAGGAGCGGGGTGAAAGGTCGAGGTTCCCACAGCATTGGTTTGGGCGTAGGAGAGGAAGGCCCTCTTGCCCCTCTTCCCTCAGAGCCATTCTGTGGATGTCTCCCCCTCCCCGCTTCTTTCAAACACTCACCGCAAGGGCAAGACGGGCCGGAGGAGAAAAGAAGCGGCTCACGGTGGAGTGGACTCCTTCACAGCTGGGATAAACGCTACAGAGGAGGGCTCTCTTTCTCTCTCTCTCTCTCCTCTCCGAAGCCCGCCTTCCCCTCAGACTCACACGCCCCGGAACTGGCGGCCGGCCTCTCGCCTCAGCAGCAGCGACTGCTGCCGGGCAGCGCCGGGCTGACAGCTGACGCTGACGTAATGCGACACGCACTGCGCACGCGCGTCTCCGCCGTGGCCTCGCTTTTGTCCTTCCTCCTGCCAGGCTGCGCTCTCTCTCCTCCCCGAGGAACAAGGCGCAGGTGTGTGTGCGTGCGCGCGCACCTTCCCAGCGCGAGAGGGCTTGGCCGTTGCCGAGCGACGGGGCCACGCGCCCCTCACCTCCTCTACTTCGCGCGCTCAGCCAGAGCCTAATGTTTTAAACAGGGCTCCTCCCTCCCTCCCTCCCTCTCTCTCTCTCTCTCTCTCTCTCTCTCTATTCGTGTCTTTCGCCAACGCCTTTTCCCGCTCAGATTTCAAAACCACGAATCAAGGAACATGAAAGGCACTGCAGACTACTCCAACCAGAGAAGTCAGCCATAGCAAAGCACCTGATGAACCAACCTAGGCACAATGTATTGTCGAAGGCTTTCATGGCTGGAATCACTAGGTTCTTGTGGGTTTTTTCGGGCTATATGGCCATGTTCTAGAGGCATTTCTCCTGACGTTTCGCCTGCATCTATAGCAAGCATCCTCAGAGGTAGTGAGGTCTGTTGGAGTTAGGAAAATGGGTTTATTTATATATCTCTGGAATGACCCCCAGTGGCACCCCTGTGCCAGCAGGACTGAAGTCCGACAGGTCGCAGGTTCGAATCCAGGGAGAGGCGGATGAGCTCCCTCTATCAGCTACAGCTCCTCATGCGGGGACATGAGAGAAGCCTCCCACAAGGATGATAAAACATCAAAACATCTGGGTGTCCCCTGGGCAACGTCCTTGCAGACAGCCAATTCTCTCACACCAGAAGCAACTCGCAGGTCACTCCTGATAGACAAAAAAAAAAAACCTGGGGTGGGGCAACCATCTCTGCTGGAGCTAGGTGTGAATGTTTCAACTGACCACCTTCATTAGCATTAGAAGGCCTGGCTGAGCCTGGGGGAATCTTTTGTTGAGAGGTGTTAAGATGTGCCTGGTTGTTTCCTCTCTGCTGTTTTGCTGTTGTAATTTTAGAGTTTTGTAATACTGGTAGCCAGATTTTGTTCATTTTCATGGTCTCCTCCTTTCTGTTGAAATTGTCCACATGCTTGTGGATTTCAATGGCTTCTCTGTGTAGTCTGACATGGTGGTTGTTTGGAGTGGTCCAGCATTTCTGTGTTCTCAAATAATATGCTGTGTCCAGGTTGGTTCATCAGGTGCTCTGCTATGGCTGACTTCTCTGGTTGAAGCAGTCTGCAGTGCCTTTCATGTTCCTTGATTCGTGGTGGTCCCTATGTAGACTTGTCCACAGCTGCATGGTACGGTAGACTCCTGCAGAAGTGAGAGGATCCCTCTTGTCCTTTGCTGAACGTAGCATTTGTTGGATTTTCTTGGTGGGTCTGTAGATAGTTTGTATGTTGTGTTTCCTCATCAGCTTCCCTATGCGGTCAGTGGTTCCCTTGATGTATGGAAGAACACTTTTTTCTTCATCTTTATCTTTACTCTTGTGGCTTGTTCTTGGTCTTGCAGCTCTTCTGATGTCTGAGGTGGAGTATCCATTGGCCTGGAGAGCCCAGTTGAGGTGGTTCAGTTCATCTTGGAGGAGGTGGGGTTCGCAGATTCTTTTTGCACGGTCCGCCAAGGCTTTAATGGTGCTTCTTTTTTGACTTGGGTGATGGTTGGAGTTTTTATGTAGATATCTATCTGTGTGTGTGGGTTTTCTGTAGACGGTGTGACCCAATTGTTGATCTGGTTTGCGGATGACTAGGACATCTAGAAAAGGCAGTCTTCCTTCATTTTCTTTTTCCATGGTGAACTGGATGTTTGGGTGGATGCTGTTAAGATGGTCCAGGAACCTGCTGAGTTCTTCTCCATGGCTCCAAATGGTGACATCTGAACCATATAGTGGGCTTTTTGGTTACTGTCTCCAGGGCTTGTTTTTCAAAGTTTTCCATGTAGAAGTTAGCTATGACCGGGCAGCGCCCAAACACGAATCAAGGAACATGAAAGGCACTGCAGACTACTTCAACCAGAGAAGTCAGCCATAGCAGAGCACCTGATGAACCAACCTGGACACAGCATATTATTTGAAACACAGAAATGCTGGACCACTCTCACAACCACCATGTCAGACTACACAGAGAAGCCACTGAAATCCACAAGCATGTGGACAATTTCAACAGAAAGGAAGAGACCATGAAAATGAACAAAATCTGGCTACCAGTATTAAAAAACTCTAAAATTACAACAGCAAAACAGCAGAAAGGAAACAACCAGGCACATCTTAACACCTCTCAACAAAAGATTTTCCCAGGCTCAGCCAGGCCTTCAAATGCTAATGAAGGTGGTCAGTTGAAACATTCACACCTAGCTCCAGCAGAAAAGAGTTCTTGGCCCCACAGATATATAAACCCATTGTCATAATTCCAACAGACCTCACTGCCTCTGAGGATGCTTGCCATAGATGCAGGCGAAACGACAGGAGAAATGCCTCTAGAACATGGCCATATAGCCCGAAAAAACCCACAAGAACCTAACCTGGACACAGCATTGCTGCATCACTCCAACAACCACCATGTCAGACTACACAGAGAAGCCATTGAAATCCACAAGCATGTGGACAATTTCAACAGAAAAGAGAAAACCATGAAAATCACTCCAACAACCACCATGTCAGACTACACAGAGAAGCCACTGAAATCCACAAGCATGTGGACAATTTCAACAGAAAGGAGGAAACCATGAAAATGAACAAAATCTGGCTACCAGTATTAAAAAAAACTCTAAAATTAGAACAGCACAACAACAGAGAGGAAACAAACAAGGGCATCTAATCACCTCTCAACAAAAGATTGCTCCAGGTACTGCCAGGCAATCAAATGCTAATCAAGGTGATCAGTGGAAACATTCGCACCTAGCTCCAGCAGACAAGAGTCCTTTGTCTCACCCAGATCATTCCACAGATATATAAACCCTTTTTCCTAGTTCCAACAGACCTCACTACCTCTGAGGATGCTTGCCATAGATGCAGGCGAAACGTCAGGAGAGAATGCCTCTAGACCATGGCCATATAGCCCGAAAAAAAACCTACAACAAAACCTACAACAAAAAAGCCCATGATATGGTTCAGATATGTGGATGACACTTTCCCCATTTGGAGCCATGGAGAAGAAGAACTCAACAGGTTCCTGGACCATCTTAACAGCATCCACCCAAACATCCAGTTCACCATGGAAAAAGAAAATGAAGGCACTCTTGGGGGAAAATAGACCTTGACATATGTGAGTTGTAGTTACTGGGATGTATAGTTCACCTACAATCAAAGAGCATTCTGAACTGCACCAATGATGGAATTTAACCAAATATGGCACACAGAACTCCCACGACGAAAATTACCTAGGGCCGCCTCTGGTCAACGCATTAACTTATGCGTCAAGACACACAGGTTGAAAACTCTGTCATAGGCCCCTTCTACCTTGCCATATAAAATCCATATTCTCTTTTTTGAACTGGATTATATGGCAGTGTAGACTCAGGTAATCCAGTCGAGATAATGTGGATCATCTGCTTTGATAAACTGGATTATATGGAAGTGTGGAAGCCTAATGCATTTCCTGTTCATCCTGTGTGTTTTTTTAAATGCAGTTGGTAGTAACTGAGAACATTTGAAATCCAGCTGCTTTACAGCAATGAGTGAAGGCATTTTCAAGAGGATGCTAATACTGAAGAATATTGAATTCTCCTTTCATTTTTCATTTGTAAGTGAGATCACATCTGACTCTATTTTTTTCAATCTGTCTTTGAAAATGGTGAAGAGACAAATCAAAGAAAGATGCTATGTGTTTTTTTTTCTTTTCATTAACTGCTTTCAAAGAAACAACTTTCTAGATTCCATATATATATATATACACACAACAACAACAACAACAACAACATATGGAGAAGGTTGAGTGTAGACTCCAGTCGTGGTGCCTTTCTTTTTATCATTCATCTTTTCACATTCATCTTTTCACAGAAGAACGGCCTGCCTGAGGGGAGCGTGCTTGTTCCATCCATGTTCAACATTTACACAAATGACCAGCCACTGCCAGAAGGGACAGAGAGTTACATCTATGCTGATGATCATGCCATTACTGCTCAAGCAGGGAGCTTTGAAATGGTTGAACAGAAGCTCTCCGAAGCTCTAGGTGCTCTTACTGCCTATTACAGGGAAAACCAGCTGATCCCTAATCCATCTAAAACACAGACATGTGCTTTTCACCTTAAGAACAGACAAGCATCCCGAGCTCTGAAGATGACCTGGGAAGGAATCCCACTGGAGCATTGCAGCACACCCAAATACCTGGGAGTCACTCTGGACCGTGCTCTGACCTACAAGAAGCACTGCCTGAATATCAAGCAAAAAGTGGGTGCTAGAAACAATATCATACGAAAGCTGACTGGCACAACCTGGGGATCACAACCAGACACAGTGAAGACATCTGCCCTTGCCTTGCTACTCTGCTGCTGAGTATGCATGCCCAGTGTGGAACACATCTCACCATCTAAAACAGTGGATGTGGCTCTTAATGAGACATGTCGCATTATGCACCCTACACCCTACACCACTGGAGAAATTACACTGCTTTGCACCACCTGACATCCACCGGGAAGTAGCAGCCAATAGCGAAAGGACCAAGGCAGTGACATCTCCAGCTCATTCCTTGTTTGGGTATCAGCCAGCACGTCAATGACTTAAATCAAGAAATAGTTTTCTAAGATCTACAGAGACACTCGCTGGAACACCCAGCAAGCGAGAGTCCAAAAGTGGCAGGCTCAAACCCAGAACCTCAATCAATGGCTGATACCAAATGAGAGACTCCCTCCTGGGCACACAGAAAACTGGGCGACTTGGAAGGCACAAAACAGACTGCGCTCTGGCACCATGAGATGCAGAGCCCACCTTAAGAAATGGGGCTACAAAGTGGAATCCACGACATGCGAGTGTGGAGAGGAGCAAACTACAAACCACCTGCTGAAATGAAACCTGAGC